TTGTTATTGCTGTAAAGACTATGGCTGTTGCTGCTGCACTCGCCACTCGAATTGCTGTTGCTGCCATTAGCAACATGGGCAACAGGTGCCGTTGTTAGCATTGTTGTTGCTGCAGTTGCTTTCGAGTCGCAAGTTGCCTCTGATGTTGCTGCTGCCGCTGTTGCTGTTGCTGTTGGTGTTGCTGTTGCTGTTGCTGGAGGATTGCCGCTCAGTTTATCCGCGTGCAGACTCAAGGATTGCAACATCATTTATTACACCTTTGCTTTGTTTTTATTGCCAACTCCTGCAGCTCCTGTCGCTAATTACTTTTAGTGCCGCATTTGGCGTCGCTTGCTTTTTAATTTGCTTCGGGTTTTAGTTTTATTAAAATTGTATATTATTTTGCTGCTGGCAGGAGGGTCCTCTTTCTGTGTTTAGTTTTGTACCCCTTTGTTTATCCTTTCTTTATCACAGTTTTTTCGCTTTACAATTAGCCTCTACTCTGTTTTGTAGCTTTTTAAAAGGGTTGAGCTTGAGTTGCAGCTGTAATTAAATGGAGAACAAAGTGTTTGCTGATTAAAATACATGTATTAATGTTGTACTATTGAGAGTGGTAAGCGGTTAAAAGATAAGTGAAAAAGATATAAGCCGAGAAAGAAAATAAACTAAGTGCCATGGTATTATCTAGTTTAGTAATAAGACGTACTTAAAATATTTAATTAAAATGTACACTTAATTCCATGAATTTCCCATCGGGTTTTAAAAATGAACAGTCCACGCAAATATTTATTAATGTTTTAAGTATCCTATAGGATAAACCGCAGTCAAAATGGCTGCCAGATCCTCCGCTTCGCCCCCAAACCACGCCCACTTTAGCTAATCCCACCGCCCATGGAGCCTAACTGCATAGCTAAGCGCATTTGAATGGAAGCATATTGACTGACAGACTGACCGCAGTACTTGGGCCACTCGACTGTCTGCATTCAAGGGCCCGCTTTGACTCGCACACGGAGTACACCACTACACACACTCGGCATATAGATACACACTAATGCAAGTGCACTGGGAAAAATAAAGTTAAAATTTGAGGCAATCAATATAAATTGTTTTTACTTAAACTAAAGTAACTTAATTAAATAAAGTTTATTCTGATTTTAGTGTGAAGAATTTCAATTAGAAATAACGAATCTTCAAGATATAAGAAGATCTTTGAAGATCAGTAAGCTTTTAATTTCTGAGCTCCAAGCTTAACATCCTTAAGGAATGAAAAATTGGATTTTACTCACAAATTCGAAAGAAGATAGTTAGGGAGATTGAATTTCAAGTGTTATAGAAATATCCATTTCATACTTATGCACACATTTTTTCTCCGTGTAGATGTTGGCATCTGCCGCTAAACAGATAAGCATTTCGAGTGCTCACATAGTGAAGAGCGAGAGCTCAGTTGGCCGCATAATGTTGAAGGCTCCAGCTAATTAGTTAAATTGAAATCAAATTATTTGTTGTCGCACTTGACTGGCCACAGGCATGGGCGCCTTAATTAACGCGCCTGCACATACACCGATTTCAGTAGCCGATTACGGCTAGCCTTATTGCTTTAGTGCCTGAACATCCGTATTAAAGGCTTAATTTGAGACACTTTAAGCTTTTAAAATATTTCCTAAATACGTATTAAATACAATTTGTACATCTACTAGCTTATTTTTGGAAAAAGTTTGTTTGACTTCTTTGTAAAGTTAGAATGTTGTAGGTACCTAATATTTTAAATTAGTTGTAAAATATATTCTCTATTGATGTAAAGGTAATTGTAAGACTTTAGATCTACTTGTTTCGCCTTTTAAATTTCTTCACGTACTTGGATAACTGTCCTTAAAAATTTTACGTGCGACGGTTCATGCTGCAAGATCCATTTGTCTAAATTTAAGGTTCACTTAAGGCACACACTTTGAATCCACCCTCACTTTGGCCCAAAATTCTCCCGTTTTCCAGATAATCGCCACGAAATTCGCCGGTTTTTCTATTATTTTTTAATAAATTTCGACGCTTGCATATTTTCGCGCTTTTCCTTAACGTTCTCCGCTTATTTGTTTTCGCAGCGCGCTCCAGTGCTCTGTTTTATTTTTGGCTCCGTCCGCTCCTCTTGGCCGGGCTGTGGCAACTGTCGTCGTCGCCATCATCCGCATCCGCATCGTTGTCGTGCCATGAGGCGCTTGTTGCATCCCCTGAATTTCCCCCCGAGCTGAGGCAAGCGTGTTGGGAAGGCAGTCATCGGTTCGCCAGCGGCGTGCTCCTGCCCCTGCTCCTGCCACTGCCCCTGCCACGCCCCCTACCGCCCACCTCCTGGCTCCTGCGGATCCTTGCCACTTGCCACGCGCTTATCCTAGCGCCATCAAACGATGTCGACGACAACAACCTCGACGCCAACGTCGTTAGGTGAGGGTATGCGCGGTATTTAAGGGATATTTTGGCTATATTATCAAGAGCCCAGTAGATTTTCTAAATCCTCAAAAACCTATGAAAATAAGATCGATTTTTACAAGTCACTTATCAGTTTTATCTTTGGCCAAATATCATTTAATGCCATGAAACACTATAAAAACCAAGTAAATGTTATGATACGCATTGATAATTTTGTTTTTTAAATACTCTAAGTCAACAGCAATCTAACAAAGCCCCTAAATATTTTTCTAAGCAGTGGCCTCAGAACCTCTTAAAATAAAATCATAGAGAATATATTTACGAATAGTTAATTTTTTAAAAATTGTAACATCTTTTACTTAGTACTACATATTAATATTTCAAAATCTGGAAAAAATGTATATTTTACAATAGAGCATCTACCTTTCGAGCTAACCCTCCACCTGATTACCCCTGGCTGCTGCATTATGAGCAGTTATGGCCGCTGTTGCTTTTCGTACTGCCACATCGGCTCCAGCAGCTTTAACGCACATAGAGCCCAGGGATATAGATATGGGCGGAGATTGGTGGGGGACGGCAGCCAGCTGTGCCATCCTCATCGCTGCTGCTGTCACCTTGTAATTTTATTTATCTATTGATTATTGAGTATCTCTTTTCTATTTATTTGCCTTTGTTTGCCCACGCAGCGTTGACAGAGAGCTACCCCCAAAGGCAGGGCTCAACCCCCAGTGCCTCAACCTCAGCCCCTCAACCCCTCGACCCCCAACCCCTGGCACCCTTTGGCATTTTTATTAAACCAGATTCCAATCCGCCCGTGTGTGGGGCTGTATGTGAATACAAGTTGGGCCCCTGGCTGTTTTTTAATTAACTTTAGTGACAATATTTTGCCCAGCTGCCTTTGAGCTGGGGAAACGCACCAGGCAACGGCCACCCAAAGCACCCACCAACCCATCAACCCACCGGAACCGAGAGATAATCAAACTTTGCCCATTGTATGCAAATGTGGGCAACGGAGTCTTGGTCGTGTTCTTGGTCCCAGGGCCACTGTGACCCCGATTCTCGGTGTTTTCTCTGTCAGCGTCTTTCCATTCTGACAGTTGACATTTCGTAAAGATGTCACTTGTCCAGGGCTGCACTGTGAACTGTAGCTATAGTCGCTACATGCACTATATATCTCGCAGAGGGAGTAGCAACACATGTCTCGTTCGCACATCCCCATATGTCCGATTCACATTCCGACCCGCTCGCTCTGTTTCCCATTCACTTGTTGAGCGAGTTTTCTTATCTTATCTCGAGTTTTATACGTTTGCTTTATTGTGGTTTTGCTTTTTTCCCTGCTTTTTGGGGACAATATGGTACACATTCATACGCATATCCAAGTAACTGGAGTTACTGGGACCCGGGGATGAACAGGTCTTTATCTATAGTTGCAGACAAACTGCAGATAGTGTCTTAGTTTCAGCAGAAGTATGACTAATCCCGAGAAATTTGCGGAGAGACAGGTGAAGATAGGTGGTTATAACTTGTAGAGTAGCACTCTTGAGATTAAAAGCTTAGCCAATACAATGTGAAGCAGTTTAGGTTTGTATAAGAATTATTCCAGTGCGCATTTACTTAATAATAATAAATTACCGGTAAATACCTCAAACAATAAAAAAAATGTAAGCGAACTGCTTTTGATTTATCTAACTTATATGAGGAAACCCATACTCACATTTAAGGACCAATATTTTTCATTTATCCTGCAGATAGAACTGCATTACTGTTTTATTTCGGTTTTTCACACACCTTATGCCACAATTCCCTTATCTAGGGCAGATATCAAGTGCGTTTATCTACAGATATCGGGTAAGTCAATCAGGAAATCACTCGAAAAGCACTCGCGAACTGCACTGATCGAAATCGACGAAGGAGACGACCGCACGTAGACGCCAATGGAGAACAACTAACGGAGCCAAAATTCCAGTTCCGATTTCATAACTCTCGGCCACAAAACGCTCAGAAAAGCGTTATCTGCTGTCTGATAAGGGCTTATCGCTTAATTGCTCGCTGATTGCCGTCAGGTAAATTTCACTTTGCCAGCTCTCACGCTCCAGAGTTTTCTCTGGCCAAACATTTGCTCCGGCCGGAGAGGAGTTCTCCCGCTACCGTCGAGTCGAAATGTTTTGGGCTTTGTTTGGGTTTCCTATCGCTGTCGGATAGCACAGGTTGTCGAGCTCTTTAATTGACTATCTTATCGAGCCCACGGAGTGCATCGACTGGGAAAGGGGAAGTGTCATCCGTCAGAGCGGGCTTGCTGCAGCAAACATTCGGAGAAACTCCCTATCCAAAACTCATGACGAAACCGAATTCGAATTGCAGTCCGGGGAAATGTCATAAAGGAGTCTATGCCGTCACTGCAATTACTTTCCAACTCTCGACTTCGCGCTCCATATATCCGCACTATAATGCTCATAAATATAAACTAAACTCATGCGAGTGGCCGCTCTGAATTTATATGTACGGATATATCCCTCGGTCCGGGTCGGTCCGTCCATCAGTCGGAGTGTCTGTCTGCAGGGCCATTACACAAATACGATATACGAAATACGAAATACCAGTGCTACCGGCGTGGGAGAACCAATGAGCTTGCCACGTAGCCAAAGCCAAAGCCAAAGTATCGATGAGTTTCGAGTGGGTGACTTGTGGGGTCGTGCGACCGGACAGCCGTTCTCAGCCGTGGCCATAACATGGACTCTCTCGCCGGTCCCGGTCGTCTATATACCATACCATATATATCCTATGTAGGACCGGTAAATAACCGATACGTGTCGGCGAAGGAACCTGGGTTTTGTGGGTTTGTTTGTCATTGTGCCATCAAATTATAATAAGCGACTATTTAGTGGTAAATGTGTGTCACTTTACATACGGCCTCTGTCTACTTCTATCTCTTTCGATCACTCTCTGTTGCTATCCCTTTCCGCCCCCTCCCCAAGGATATAATTATGGGGTTTGGGAGGTGGACAATTCGTTTCGACCTGCCTCGACCGGAATCGAAAACGGAAAAATCGAAAATTCAATTATCTATTCATGGCTTGAGTTATAACTTGGCTCTGTTCCTGGGCTGACCAATCATGTGCTGCCCATTTATGTGGATATTCTGATATAAGCACATTCAATTAATATTAATCAATACCTTTCGCGTAATTAAGGTAATTTTATAGATGTTTTTTCTAGACCTTCATTCACAAACTTCAGCTAACTATCAGCCGACAAGAATTGCTTGCCGAATTTTTTAAGAATTTACCAACAGTGTGAAATAGTATTTAACGAGATTAGTGAATCATTATATTAAAACAAACACAAACTCCCGTGTAAAGATAGTAAACCCATTAAAGCCCACCCATTAGAGTAGTTATATAAAAAAGATATACACACTGCATTCAGGCTATATATAACCCCCACCACAGCGACTTTTGGCCAAATATAAATTAACGCAGTATACCAAAATGTTCTGATACCAATCTGCTGCTTATCGGGAGCTAGCGTCTGCACCTAACTGTTTACCGATTTATCTAATCTGAGATTCTTATCTCGAGCAATTACTCCGCACTTCCTCCGATGCCAGGTGCCCCCCTCCCCCACAGCCCCTCCAAATCTACCCACAACTCACGAGTTGCGACAGACACAGTGGGTCACTTCTGCTTCTAGCCACCCACAGGTACAGTGGGTGCAAGTAAATGGCCGCCATAAAAAGTCAGCCATTGAAATCCAAGATATATGCTTGTGTTTCTGTATATGGATAGTTACTTCTGCCCCGTTCGTTGCCCCCCGTTTACACAGAGAGAATAAACAAGAAAACTAATCAATAGATATAATGATCCTCAAAAGGGTTGATAGGTTTAAATGAAAAGATTTATTTTTAGGCACTAAGAATAATTCGGAAAAATCCCATTAAAGATTTGTGTGCAAATATAACACAGTAAAATATCCCACAATATGGTTTTCTTTTTGACAGAAAACAAAATCCCTTACTTGTGATCTAAAACTTCTCTATAACAAAAAAGGTCGTATATAAAGCCAAGCTGTATAAATCAAAAGGGATTTGTAAATGTAACTCTTAAATTATTATTATTTATTTTCTCGGAGTGTGCATATATGGCAACTAGTAACCCTTTTTCGTTCTTGCAATTCGATTTTTTGTGCCCTCAATGACCGCCCCTTCTGTTTCGGTGGCCCCGAATAGCGATCAATATTGAATCGAATTTGACCAATGGTTATAGCCACGATTCGACGGACAGACTTTGGTCTGTCTGCGGGCCAGAGTGCTGGTTAAGCGGAAAATGTTATTTAATAATTTACACCGGAGCGTTTCGGTAACAGAAAAACATTTGTGGAGTCGAAATATTAAACGCAACACCTTCCTCCGGCAGCCAGCATTCACCCCAAGTATTCGCTGCGAGAACCCTTCAATTCCAATAATATTATTAGAAACTCAACTGGAAAATCGAAGTTGAAGAAACCACAGGAATGCGGTTGAAAATGCAACAAAAGCCAAAACACAGTTTAGTGGTTGAGTAACGACAACGGCAGAAGCCAGGACATGGTCGTAGTCCTGGGCAGGCTGTGGGGGGGTCGGCAGACCGACGGGCCAACCGACCGGCCGACCGACAGACAGTGGACTACTAATAAAGCCAGGTGAACGCAGGTGGAGGCCAGGGACGTCGGCCAGGGCAGACAAAAGGAAGCACAAATAATATAAATTAAATGTGGGGAAATCCACCCCCCCGCCCCCCCCCCCCCCCAACATGGCCGTCGCCCACTCGAAAGAAAAGCAAGCTGAGTAATTATTTCCGGCAGAGCGGGCAGCCCTGGGGAAAGGCAGGTCCTGGAGGAGAGTCCTTGCGGTTTGACTGCAACACATGGCCGGACACTTAAACCGGAGTGTGGCAAACGGGGTTGGAAAATCTATCTGGGCAATAATTTCGGTTGACATGCTTGCGGTAATTATTGACCGTAATGACAAAACCGTATACGAATCCGGCAAATGGGTAGTCCCAACCAAACCCAAACCAATCCCGAAACCCTGACAAATTGCTTTAGTTTTTGGGGTCATCTGCTGGTGGATTGTGTGAGTGTGTTTGGGTCTGCTAATTGGATACCGTGATGGACAACAGCTGATTTTGGGATCGGCATAAATTCAGCCAAGCCCACCTCTAAACAAATAAAAATTGTCACCGCCATCGAACTATAAACAAGCGAATTGTGAACCATAATTTAAGTCCATTTCATTTTATTTGCACTTGATGCGCAAGATTTATGGACCACTGGCCTATATATAGCGATATTAATGGAACGGAGCTGTCGAACACAACACAGCCCGAGAGTTTGTCCAAAAACCAATTAATAATTTTCTATCGCTTATTTTTGGAAAGCTCTCTTTGCTTTCTGTGTTTCTTCTATTTTCCGCGATCTATTTTCCGATTTTTTGTGTGTTTTTGCCGAACTCATTTCAATGCCGGCTATTTTTGTTGCAATGTGGCCCACATGTTGGGCATTCGGGGGGTAATAAATATTGAATGCGACCGACAAAGTATCCCAAAGACTTATTCCCAAAAGATCAGCTGGAATTTCTACAAGCTTTCCCTGTAGTAAACTACTTACTTCAATTGGCTCTAGTCATGTGGGGGAACTTCCGTAGACTAGAACGATTTCTTTTGTGTGACAAATTGGCCGGGTGATTGTGTTTGCGAAGATCCAAGATGCCAGGAGACACACGACCGATGACGCGGAGGAGACCGTTGATCGCGTGAGTTGAACGACAAATGAATTCACTTGATGGGTGAAGTGCGAGGTCAAATCTCTCTTGGATGCCGCAGAACGAACGCACTCGCAGAAGCACAATTCACAGATGAAGATACAGATACGCACACGAAACACGCTGCAGATACAATGAACAACCAATAAGCGAGGCAAATTAGCAACACACTAAGAACTCACTGGTTTGTATGACATTTGAAACGCACTTTAACTTTTAGTTTTGAACTTTAATGCTATTTAAATTTCTTTTTGTTTCAGATATTAGTTTAGTATTATTGATTTTGGCGCAGGATGTACTTAATTTGTTGACTTTTTTATGTGAGATTTTATTTGAAATTTTATTCTTTCAATACTTTAACTAAAATAAGTGATTAGGGTATCTAAAAATGACTTTCTTATTTTGTTAGTTATATTCACATCAACGATTTAGCTGTTTTTAATTTACTAACAAGAATTAATTTCATTTTTAACACGCAGTTTCACATTCTTTCTATACTTTTGTATTATTTTTGAACAGCATTTATAGATAAGAATTTTATTTTACCTTGAAACCTTGCTTTTTCATTTTCTTAAATTTATAATATATGAAAATTTATATTTTCCTTGTTATATTTTCAATGCAATAAAATATTTAAGGCTAGAACTACATTATTTTTAATATGTTATGAACTTTTGAGATCACTTCTTTAGACTTTATGGCTAGAATTTCGTGCACTTTTGAGCTGGCACTGCAAGTGACATGATTTCCAAAAAACTGCACTGGGCCACAAAAATATTATTTTATATATATTGCACTTTATAGCCGTGTGTTTTTCTTTTCGGGCGTGTAAAAGTGAAAATGCGAGTGGGCGGCGACGAACCGGCGACGACGATGCGCGCGATTTTCTCGCGTGGGGCTGGCGGAACGTTCAAGATGGCACTGCCGGGCGATCCACGCCGATCGACTTGACAGTCCATGGAGCCGCCCAGCGGACCCGTCGTTATTTATTCCGGAATATAAATTAAAGGTATAAATAATATTTCGCGAAATAAAAATTATGCATGTTGTATTTATTTAGAATTTAATTGAGTTTGCCGGGGGCAGTCGGTGGCGTTCGGGGACCGGTCCTGTTGACCATAATTTAAATCAAAACACAAATTAATTTGTCGCTCCTCTCTCACTGCACTTGCTGCTCTGTTTAATTTCTCAAGATTCCGCGGAAAACTGTCAGCCAATGTCCACCGGACAGAGAGAGAGGAGAAAGTCGTGGGCGTCATCGGAAAAACAGAGTGAAAAGTCGCATCTCTTCGGATCGCAGCCCCAGCAATCTCCGATCGATTTGCAGCTTTTACGAGCTGTCCGAGCAGAACCAAGCGCAACCATGGAATGAAGCATCTGTTTTTCTTTTATTTACGACTCTTCCTAATTTCTTCAGATGGTCCAACAATGCCACATCGGTGTTTCCCCGCCATATAGGTGATTTTCCTCTATTATTTTTATTTTCCCGTGACATGTTGTCAGGCGGATTAGTTTGGCCGTTAGTTTGACAGGCTCTATAAGTAGACACTCAAGTGGGTGGCAATCTAATTTGGCTGCGCTGCTCGAACAATTTGAATATTGCTCGGGGGATTAATGGGTGTGGATATGACCCATTTGGGTTGCACTCTATAAATTAAACGTCCACGATGATCGCTGCCAATACTCGTATATAGAGGAAAATGCTGTAGCTTACATAAAAATCTTAAAAATTTTACTTCGCTTTTTTACGTTTTTTAAACTGTGTCAAGTGCCAAAGTGAATTATGTGGGCGTTTAAGGAGAAGCTGAGAAAAATATTATTTAAATATTATAATTCAATGTGTCGTAGCTATTTTTTAATACATTACTTAAAAAGCTAGCAAGCAATTTATAAATTTGTAGTTTTAAGCAAAGCTTAAAAAATACATTATTTTTGGCAGGATGATATGGATATTTTTTCCCCTAAATTATATTATTTCCATGGAAAACTTCATTCATTTTTATTCATTCAATTTAATAAAGTACATCAACAAGTGCCCCTCCAAATCGAGAAGTTCCCCTCAAATCCGGCCCTGATAGTGAATAACAACATTTAATATGTTATCGTGTGATTTTCCTCCCACGTGAAAAGTTTCCCAAACATCCCTGGTAGATTTCCCTCATGTCATTCATCGATCATTCATCTCACAACATTGTCAAGTTCATTCTTTCTTCCCGTTCCCATAAATCAGAACAAAAGATCTTATTTTATCGCGCAGCCAGTGGCATTGTAAGGGGTCCGAAAAAGGCTAAAATTAAATGAAAATAGCGAATTATTCAAGGCATTCACTTGGCTTTAAATGTCAATGGTTGCAAGTTCCATAATCCGCTTGTTATTGCGTTTTAACATTCAGTTGAAATTAGGGAAGTAGAGCCCAGAAAATATAAGAGTCTGAAAATTGTGGAAAATAAGGAAAGGGAAAAATAGCTGTTGGCCATCTTCAAGACACTTAAGTTTTCTGCAAGCATTTGGCCCTTCTCTGCATTTCTGGTCAAATAATTATCAGCGGGGAAACCAAAAACTTAAGCAACCAAGGAATACGGAAAAGTTACGACAACGAAAATACCTTACATATATATATAGGGTAGTTATAAAATGCAAGATATTGCTATGACTTTTATCTACATATTATCAAGGTCCATATAATTTATGTAAGCCACATTGTTAATGCAGCTTGTTACTTCCTCCACTGTTCCAAAATCACTTCTTAAAAGTTTAAACTTATATTTGAAGGAAATATTTTCTAAGAGACTCAACCAAAACGCTATACAGGGTACGCAAATCCGAAAACAGCAAGCATAATTTTGCACGTGTTTCGAATAAGTGGAAACTTTCCTTTGGCAAACTTTGTGAGCCACCACCAATACGACCACCATTTACCCCTTGGATAGTTCTGCGGGCGTTTAAAAATGCGCGACCGCATTCATTAGAGCAAATGGCTTAAATACTTGGCCAGTCGAAGCTGAACTGATGAATGGCAGCTTAAGATTCGGGAGCCAGAGCTCCCCCAACTTCGACTCCCGGCCCACGGCATTTGTTTGTTTGTCTGACTTTGGGCTCTGGAGCCTCGGATTAAGTTTGCTCGCCGGGTAAAGTTTCATATTCCTCCTTGAGCCCACCCCCAGTGGATCTGTGTTATCGCCATGGCTGCATACTTTTGCCGCCCAGTGTCGAGCAGCTGCGAGTGCATTTGCCATTGCATACTTTCGGGCATCTCGGGCGAAAGTATTTGCCTGCCGCTATTGGAATTTGCAAATATTCTTATAAATTATTATATCAAAGTTCGACATTACTTATGGCTGGCTGGCTTCGACAGCAAACTTTGCTTTACTTTGCACACTTTTCCTGCAGTTCGACTCACTCTCTCCTGCTTGACACTTTAGTGTAATTAGTTCTCGTGCGGTTGCAGCTTTGCGGGAAAGTATCTTTGGCTTTGGGAAGGGGGGTTCGGGCTTCCCTGTTTTTGCGGCTTTTTCATGCCCTTTGATGTGGCAAAAATTTCAATTAATGCAATGCAAAATACTTTTAAACTCCTCTGCCCTACTTCTAATCCAAGGATTATGAAAATCGCTCATGTGCCGCGAGCAAAGATTGCGTAAAATCCAGAACTAATGTATTTTATAATGCTTGATTGAGCAGCCTGGAGGTGGGTCTATAAAATATTGAACTTTCTAGTGCATGTCCTTGTGGAAAAATATATTTAAATCTTGTGGTTTGCTGGATTTTGGTGACTAAAGGCTAACTTTTAAGTTATTTGCAAAGGCATAGTTAATATAAACATATTTTCTAAATAATTTAAATTGTAAATGGTATCTTGCCATGTTACTCTTTAAAGCTGCTCGTTCTATATTATTTGTAACATAATTTTATCAAGCAATCCGACCAAAAAAACAATTAACAATTATCATTAGTAAGTTTGTCCCATATCTCAAATTACTAAGATAAAAAGTGAACCAATTCCCCACCGAAAACTTCATTTTTTGGGACGCTTTAAAGAAATTATACTTGACACTTTTCAATTAGTGAAGAAAGTTTATTTTAATTGTGACAGTAACACGTTGTTGCCATCGCCACCCAGCCCAAAAAAGCAAGAACAACACGGACAAGTTTGTCAGGACAATACAAAAGCCAGGCAAACTAGGGCCGAAGTCAAGGAGCGCCCTGGGAGCCACAAAATGTCAGAGGAAACTTTTCTGGCCAAGATTAATTACAATTGAAAACAAATGAATGCAAAAACGATAAGCAGCCGAAAGGATTTCCACAGCAAGGCAGGGGGTAGCGGGGAAAGCCAAATGGAAATGAAAACCCAAAACTCAACTTTGCCAATCAAGATAGAAGAGGGAGTGAGGCGGCCAAAGGAGCTCTAATCAGAGGAATGGTGTTGAAATAAATGTTCACACCTACAATAGAAGCCAGAAGTGCAAGAGCATAAGCTGCACACTTGGAGAAATTACTTTAGAGCGTAAGACTTCGAGTTTATGAGGCCAGAAATTGAATCAACTCAACAGTTAATAGGGGTATTATTTTATATAAACAGTTTTTAAACATTTTTTTCAAATGGAAAATATCATAAAATATAAATTCAACTTTATTTTAACTATATATTAAAGTAAAACAGCTTATCTCTGTTAATAATTTTTTCTCGAAGTGCTGGTAACAACTGCTGGCTAGTCCAGTTTTTTGGGGACTCGAACTTTTGACCGAAGGAGGTGGCAAAGTTTTGGAGAGATTCGCTGGCTGGGGGAACATTTCGGTGGTCGGCGACGTGACCTGTTTAGTTTTAGCAAGGAGCTGCTCTATTTCGGTTTAGTTTTAAGTTTTTTATTGGGTGTGGGTCTTTTTGTTGGTAGAGTGCCAGCGGTCAATGGGGCAGCATTAGCACCACTTAACCCGCAGTGCAGTGTTTTCTGCCCTGGGAAGTTTTCGTGCATAAATCATGAAATTAATTAATTTTGACACACACTCCCCTCGGCCGCTCTCTTAAAAAGTAGCGCCATAAGCAACTTCGCCATCAAAGTATTTTATACTTCGTTCTTTTCCTTGCAGCCGCTGCTCTTTGCCAGAAATTAAAAGTAGAATTGAGAAGTGAAACATCAACACCAACAACAACTAAACGGGGAAAACTTGCCTCGCCACGCAAACTTTTCCAACGTGCAGCAGGGAGCGGGGAAAAAAGAATCAGGTTTGAAATATGTGCAAAATTCATTCAGTATTTGAAATATTCCAAACTTGCTATAAGTTTCGTGTGTTTCGCCTTTTTTCGTTTCTTCTATTTTTTGCCTGTTTTTTTATTGCTGCCAAAAATAAAACTTGCGCCGTGAGTTTAATTTTATTCATGCTGCTAAGTGAGTGTTGAGTGAGTTTTCTGGAAAAAAGTAGTGGAAAAAGAGGTGGTAGCTTGAGCGTCGAAGCTCAGGCAAAGTTTGCGTCCAAAATGGTTCACTATTTAATTGCATAATTTCAGAGCAGACTGAGATTACACCTTCAGGAAAAATACTTTTTTGCAAGCGATGGACATACGAAATTGTGTGATATGTATTACGTATTTTATTCTGACTGAAACTTCGTCACTTAGAAAAGTTCCACTCTGCTATGTATCACTAACAAGATTATTCCGTTTATATACCTTGTCAAATTAATTAGGTATTCACAGAAATTCCAGATAGTAGACCGACACCAGAAATCACTTGCATTTAAAAGTCCTTAAAGCAAGATGAAGTTGTTTATCTTGATGCTTGTGGCATTGTTTAATTACAGTGAGTTCACAAAGTTGTTTTTCGGTAAAAAAAAAGATTTGTTTTTTGATAGACATCGTCATGGCCGTATTGCGCAAACCTCACACTGACCGAGACAATAGAATGGCTATCACAGTGAGGGATAGGGAAATCCCCGATGATGCAATAATCGAGGCCTTTCGGAAGAAGTTATACGACAAAATTGCATCAGTGAAATGGAAATCACACATTAAAATGTGGGCTGACCTTGGCATTGATGCCCTCAGCCACCCCATATCAAGGCTAAACGAGATGGTAAACTCAGTGGGCCATCATCCTACCTACGAGTTGTGGATGGCTCAGCTGCGTCACAAAATTTGGGAAAAGGGTCAAAATATCGTCGTGGTGGTGTTCAAAAAAATTAATAAGGTTTTTACAGTTCTGCATGCCCATCTCAAGAAAAAAGTCGACGACATTATTGTAAGTATGCCGTATACAATGAAGGGTTACTGTAATTAATATTTTTCAGAATAATAAATCCAAGGACAAAGGAGGTAAGCATGAGGAATCTGGCTACGTGGACTACGATGACTATATTCGAGAATGATTAGTTGCGTAGCTTTTATCTTAAGAGAGGTTAAGGCCTTTTGCTGCAACAAACCCCCTGTTAGCCTTTAAATTTAACTGTATGATGGCATTAGATATAAATAATATTAACAATTGTTTTGCTTTTGAACCAATTTAAAATTTGAGGAGACCCTCAACCACATTTAAAAGTAATAAATTTTTATTTATTAAAATGTGCACAATACATCAAAAGCCTTAAATTTATTTATATCTGAAATATTATAAGTTCAATAAAGTTCAGGTTCAAAAAAGCTCGTGAACAAAACTCCATAAGTCGTCTTGGTCCGCGGCTTTGTCCTGCTTTCCCAAATCGTCGAGCTTCTTTTTGAGTTTTTTCAACTGCTTTTCATCGCTAAAAATCGCATTAAAAACGCGCGTAGTAAAGTTATCGTAGATACCGAGCTTCCGGAGCAGATTCAAGACTCTCTTTTCGAAGTTCTTGTCCTTGCCTGCTGGGTTTCCCTGTCGAAGGCCAGGTTCTTCCTTGGATAGAGTACCATTTAAACTCGCTGGAGAGCCAGTCGAGCCGAAGGAATCACCATCACGCCATGATCGATTAAAGATATTAAGTGACTCAATTTTATTGGCCAGTTGGGATATCGGTAGCTCAACTGCTTGCTGAAGCATCATGAGAGTCGGAGAACACTCTGCAAGCCTGGCTTTTTGAAGACTTTCCTTTAAACGGGACGTGACGACATCGTTAAGCTTTCTTAGTTGATCCCAGGAGACGTTCTCCTGGCTTTGGATCCCCTGAGACATGAGAAGAATCGCTGCTAGGACTACGATTTCCATGGCTTCTTTTAGACAACTGCTTGGCTCGACTGCGGATCGGAGGCTTTATAAAGCTCATTGGTGCTACCAATTATCATGAGTTATGTTCAGCTGACAGGCAGTAAAGTATTAAATGGGATAGGCAAGGTAGCAACAGAGTAAGATATCGAGGTCACAGCATAATTGTTATTTTATGAGTTGCGATAACTCGCCACAGACTTACGACCTTATTTACTGAATCAGTTTTAAAATTTTTAGTAAAGATTCGAAAAGCATAGAACCAGGTATGTGGCTATGGTTTCTTGCAATTTTAATATGAAGAATTCCTTCAAAATAAATAAAAGGTACCATATTTTTCAACGCTAGATAGATTTGTTATTGGTTCATATTAACTTTAGTTTTATAATAATTACCTTATCTAGTTTCTAGAAAAACATGCGAAACTCCTTTAACAATGTTGCAATCGCTTCGGCTGATAAGAACTCCATTTAGGGCCTTCCAAGGGTTCCTTCTCAGGCAATTAAGCAAATGCGACGAATGTCTTTTACTGCTGGGGAATTGAAAAGGCAAATACAGGGAGGGGGTGGGGCAGATGGGGGATGCGAATAAAATGCAAAAACATTAAGCCCGGCCAGCAACTCGGCTCAGAGCAGACCAAACTTCGAATGCGAAGAAAAGCGGCAACTGTGACAATGTAAACAACAGCGGAAAGAACTGGTGACTGGATGAGGGGATTGAGGGGGTTGAGTGGGTGGTGCTGGGTGGGTGGCTTTGGGTGGTCGGGTTTTCCCGGGTGGTGGTAAAAAGTGCATACAAAATTGCCAAGCATAGGGGAACAAAAGAAACAAAAACGACGCCGTCAGCTGCAACGCAAAACTGCAGCTAACCGAAAATGGTAATGGCCTTCCATGGGCGGCGAGAAAGGGGGTCTGGTTGCGGGAGTTGGAGGAGGGCGTTTCAATGTTTCAGCTTAATGCGAAAATCTTGTTGCACACCGCCTGCAGCCAACGATTCGGCCTCCAGACCATGGCGAAAAGTCTATTGTTTCACAATCATAATTCTCCTGTAAGCCGTCGGTTGAAGGGGTTTGCAGGGGTGCGGAGGGCGACGGGGAGGGGCTCTTTCCTGGCTGCAGGAAATGAACATCATTAATTTTGCCATTCTGCATTTGCATTGGAAATGGCATTTCAATATTCGCTTCGCTTTCAAGATTGCCAAAACCATTTTCCGCGCAGCCAAATAACCCTCATTCAAGCTCCGAACTCAAAGCTTCCCGTCCCGCTCACTCCGACTGTCGCCCATCCCGCTCGCTCTCTCTGTCGGCGGCTTGGAAAAACTTTCAACTGCTGTGCGCGATTGCCGCGACGTGACTTAATTTCCACCGCCGGCAGGCATACGGCTAAATATTTGTTCTATTCGAAGGGGGAGGGGGTTTTGGGCAGGGGTTAGTTAGAGTCTTACAGTGCGAGAAAATTTGCGAAAAAGCAGTAAGCTATTTATTTTTACAGATTAGGAAAAACGATGATAACATCCTAAAATGTTTAAGCCTTTACAAAACTCCGAACTAGTTATTTCATGAACTAAATAATTAAAGTTCAATAAAACTAAATATATTTTTAAGAAATGCAACTTTTACTTTTTCTAATTAGATAGTATATTATAAAAGATAAGGCACGTATTCGAATTTTAAAGAACACACTATAAAAAAAAAAAATTAGTTGTGATGCTTTAAAAATCAATGGTGAAAACTTTATGTAAACACTTAATTACCAGAAATCAAACTAAGTTTTTATAACAAATTTCAATAGAAAATGTTAAAAGTGTTTAAATTTATTTGATTTAGATTTATTTAATTTTGAAACGTCAAAGTTGTTCATGTGTTAAATTACATTTTTTCAAAGATAATCACTGACTGCCTAATTTATTGGGGCTTGGAATTATTTCAAGTACCATAAGTCATCTTAAACCTTTTATTTCTCCCAGTGTATGTTTCACTTTGAGCATTTATCAATATATGGACATGTCCTGATAACTCTGTCGATGGGAATTGCGGCACGTAGCGCTCGACACTCAAGTGTCCAAGTGTTGAAAAAGCCGTGCATAAAAACTAACACGTACGCACCGATCCGAGCTTCCATACCATATATCCCTCGGCTAGCTGGGGTAAGCCAGTCCAGTCCATATCAGATATATACTATGTATGCACAGGGGAGTGGGTCCGGCAGTGGGCTCGAGAGCGAAAATCAAAGCTAAGCACTTTCAATTGGATTTATGCGTTTGCGATGTGCCCAAAGATGCGAATCGGAATCGGAATCGCGTGCCCAGCTGGCTAATGTCTCAATTTCTCTGGCTTCAAGCCTCATAACCCCCGTTCCCTGCAAAAGACTTTCTTATTAATCAGCACAAAAAGTTTTCCGCACCAACTTGCAATTCAGCCGATAAGCAAATAGCCCAAAAAACTGTTTACACAACGCATACATGGCCAATTATCCCAGAGCTCATGTGTGCGTGCCAGTATTTGTCTTCGAGTGCCTTTGGTTATTAAGTTTTATGATCAGTTTGTGTTTTGCGTTGAAACGATTTATTTAGCTAAGCGGAATTAATTGGACTTTTACGTGTTGAGTTCCTCCACACTTACAGGAGTGAAAATGAGTTGGGGCGGGGAAAGCCCCTTGAGGCCAGCCGGGAAAAGCTCCTGTGCGCTCAGTTTGTCTAATCGATTATAAACTAAATGGAGGCTGCAGAAAACGCAAACAAAGTTTATTACAAGAAACTAGAAACATTTTCATTTTGTACAAGAGTATGAGATAGCCTTTTCATCGTCTTAGTACATTTCAAGATATAGTGCTGACATCCCCTGTTCGAAAAATTTTTATACATGTCGTAAAGTATTTAAAAGGTAGAAGGAAGGGTTTCCGACCTGTTTCAGTATGTATATTCTTGATCACGATCACTATCCGAGTTGAACTACCAATGTCCGTCTGTCCGTCCGTCCGTATAAACTATGAAAGTTGGGGATAACGCATGAAGATTCTAGAGGTTCTTGCGCAGTGCGACAAATGCCCATGACTCAAAAACCTGACTAGCGCCTATATTATAGAAGATTTTGTAAAAGTGTAAATGGGGTTTTGTTTTGATTATAAATATCCATATAGGTGATTGTTGAAATTGGACCATCCATTAAAATGTTATAAGCTAATAATAATTCAAATAAAAACCCTTAGCTCAGTAACGGGTATCTGATAGTTGAGACCGTTGACTATAGCGTCCTCTCCTGTTTTTAATTTGACTGGTGGGTACTCTGTATTTTGGATACTTGCTTAATGTAATTATTCATGTATTCGCAGTTCCTGTTTTTATATGTTCCTTTTAATTAATACGAGCATAAAAAAGAAAAATTAGCCGCAATGATAGTACACACTCAATATTTTGGCAAACAGCCCTTGCTTAATTCATTAGTTTAAACATTTTCCATCAATTCTATGGACTGAAGCGATGTCCTTTTATGCAGACTCGCTCTCTACAAAACATAAGCCTGTGTCCGTTCACTTCAAAGGAGTGCTGGGTCCTTCGCCACTTTGGGCGGGAAACCGCAGTTAATGCCGGCAACAAAAGCGACCCGAAACCAAATCGCTTAGCAAACAATGGCGGAGTCCTCCATCCCGCCCGCATATCCAAAAATACCCCTTACGACCACACATTATATGCGATCCAGCAGCTGGGCAGTCCGAAATGCTTTATGCGATTATTTGCTGAAATGTTGCGAAAGCGGGTTGCGTTATTTATTTGCCTTGGGGCCCGGCAGTTTCTTTCTCTATTTCGGTGAAAGTTGGGTGGGCGAGGGGTTGGGCTGGGGCATTAACAAACATTCTTGTGGCCGGCAGCAAAAAATTGTGGCATATTTCATGTTTGCTCCAGGAGCTTTTCTTGGGACGACGGATCAGAGTCGCTCAAGTGTTAAAATTTCCAGGCAGGAGATTTGCATGACAGGGGGGGCAGGGGGCCGGAGAAAGTGGTTGTAGTGCCAGCCACATATACCTTTATTGAAAACATAATACGCCTTTCGCACACACGGTTTCCATTTCATTGCTTTCGCTTGCCATTCGATTCGATTCCATTCTGTTTTGGGAATTTTTTCGGATGGCGCGTGACAAAACTCAACTTATGCCGGCTTTGAAATTTACTTTGCCTGGCTAATCCCGGGGATGGTCGAGTCCTCGGAGAGCTGTCGGTGGAGTGGAGGATTGGGGCCAAAGGAGTGGTTCCTAAGCCGACTGTCCAGTGCGTTTTTTCCCGCTCTTCCCGTTCGAGTGGCTGTCACAAGCGCTTCTGGCCAAGAGCCGTCGCAAGTGGTCAGAGTA